GTCATAAAAGGAAAGCCCTACAGGAGAGAAGATCTATGAACAATAAACGGCTTGTCAGCCTGGCTTAGCCCATAGACTAAGACCTAGTCTGAAAGTTAAGACACCCAGCTGCTGGCCCCATCTTTAACTTGCTGATTAACAACCTTGGGAACATCACCGGGGGTTTCCCTCTGGTCCTCATCAGTAAAATGAGGGTAATCATTCACATCTTTGTAACATGCTTGAGCTTGAAGGAAAGCCATGCCACCAAGGTTCCAAGCATGCCATAACAATTAGCCATATAAAGACCTAGTTATAAGACAATCTCGGTATCCCTTGATCTTTTCCCCCATTCCCAAAGGAAGGGCATGCAGCTGATAGAACTGATTTTCCTCATCCAGTTTCCATGAGTCACTGTAGCAAATGCTTTACATCCAGCCAAAGCTATACAGCCTAAGTGGCTGGAATCCAAGTGCTGTCACCTGCCTGCTGAAGGCAGGATAAATGGCAAGGCGTTGAGTTGGGTGGAGGGGAGAAATCAGCCCCTGCAGGGAGCAGCTTAGGCCTGATTTCATTGTTAACGCTCTGGCAGTAGAAGTAAACAGCACGCTAATTAAGTTAACAGCTGACAGAATTAGCAGGCATCAGAATGCAAACAGCGAGAGGGAACAGAGGTGTTGGAAATCAGAGAACAAGATTCTGGAAAACCGGGAGTGAATACATTTGGGGGTGGGGGAAAGAGAGGAACGTTGCTCAAAAGGAGTGAGACCATGTGTGTGGCGCACTGTTCCGGTGTGCGGCTGTGAGCACACACACATATATACTGCTGAGAGGTTGGGTGGTGGACTGTGCTGTTTGGGGGGTGTGGGTGGATGTACAGCATACTGCTGTGAATACGTAGGCTGTACAGCTGCTACCTACATTATGTTCCCTTCAGACTACAGCCCGGCAATAGCCCTCCTAGAGAAGTGTCCTTTCTGAGATACTGGAACGCCATCAAACGTGTTCCCACCAGGCACCACACGCAGGCTGAGAGGGCTCTGAGCCTGGAGAGATTCTCCAGGAAGTTAAAGTCACAGTTCAGGGCACTTGCACCTGAATTCCCCCTTGTGATTTCATGAGGGCACCACCTCAAGGCTCCCATCTGGGGTAGAGACCCACCTCTGCCTCCCTCCTGACGGAGGGTTTTCCAAGCTGCAGAGTGCCCTGTCTACCCTGGGATAGCCCCGCCTAGCCAGGCCAGTGTCTATACTGTGCTTTTTCCATGAAGGTATTTGGCAGGATAAGGGTGGCCAGCAGAGCTGGACTGGGACTGGAAGTGAATCGGATTTGGGTGTGGTACTGCCAAGTTAAAAGCCCATCACTCTACTGAAGCCAGAGCTATGGTGATTTACTGCAGCTGAGGTGCTGACCCTACCATCGGCTGGTGCAAATCACCTGGAAGGCCTTAGGGCTCGTCTACACAAGACTGCTAATCTGGAATAAAGTAGGGTGTGATTGGCAAGCAGATGAACTACTCCTGATTCCTTCCCTGCGAGACTGCTCTTAGGAGCAGAGTGCCTTCTTGCAATGTAGCTTAATCCGTCTCCAAAATGGATTTTGTTGGAACAAAATTTTTATCTGGAATAAGAGCATTCACACACAGCATGACTGAAGAATAACTTCCCCTGTAGCCAAGCCCCCAGACTCTTGACATGTGGGACAAACTACACTAGCACCCAACGCATGAAGCAAAGGTGGAAAGCAGACCTATGTCAAATACTCAGTCCTTTAATATCATCAGCCACAAACCCACTTGTCACAAGTGGCTCTCCCTGAGCCAGCAATTTCCACTTGGGCCACAGCGAATCCTACGACTGGAAGGGACCTTGGGAAGTCATCTAGTCCACTTCTTTGCACTCATGGCAGGACTAAGCACCATCTAGACCATCCCTGACAGATGCTTGTCTAACCTGCTCTTAAATATCTCCACTAATGGAGAGTCCACAACTGCCCGAGGCAATTTATTCCAGTGCTGAACCTCCCTGTTAGGAAGAATGACTTCTTGGCTGCGTCTAGACTGGCAAGTTTTTCCGCAAATGCTTTTAACGGAAAAGTTTTTCTGTTAAATGCATTTGCGGAAAAGAGCATCTAGATTGGCACCGACGCTTTTCTGCAAAAGCACTTTTGCGGAAAAGCATCTGTGCCAATGTAGACGCAGGTTTGCGCAAGAAAGCCCCGATTGCCATTTTCGCCATCAGGGCTTTTTTGCGCAGCACAACACCGCGTTGTCTACACTGTCCCTCTTGCGCAAAAGCATTTGCACAAGAGGGCTTTTGCCAGAACGGGAGCAGCATAGCATTTCCGCAAGAACACTGACAATCTTACATGAGATCGTCAGTGTTCTTGCGGAAATTCAAGCAGCCAGTGTAGACAGCTGGCAAGGAAAAACTTGCCAGTCTAGACGCAGCCCTTGTGTCTTACTTACAACACTCCTGCTAATACACCCCAGAATGATGTTTGAGTTCTTTGCAACAGCATCACACTGTTGCTTGTGGTCCATAGGGCCTCCAGATCCCTTTTTGCAGTGTTCCTTCCATTCTGTAAAAGCGGCGAGGAGTCCTGTGGCACCTTATAGACTAACCGAAGTGTTGGAGCATGAGCTTTCGTGGGCAAAGACCCATTTCGTCAGATGCATGTAGTGGAAATTTCCAGAGGCAGGTATAAATATGCAGGCCAGAAATGACGAGGTGGATCCAATCAGGGAGGATGAGGCCCACTTCTAGATCCGCCTTGTCATCTCTAGCCTTATTCTGGCCTGCATATTTATACCTGCCTCTGGAAATTTCCACTACATGTATCTGACAAAGTGGGTCTTTGCCCACGAAAGCTTATGCTCCAACATTTCGGTTAGTCTAGAAGGTGCCACAGGAATCAGATTAACATGGCTACCCCTCTGATACTCCTTCCCATTCTGTGTGTATGAAACTGATTGTTCCTCCCTAAGTGGAGTACTTGACATTCGTCCTTATGAAACTTCATCCGATTCACCTCAGACCATTTCTCTGGTGTGTCCAGATCATTTTGAATTTTAATCCTGCCCTCCAAAGAACTCACAGCCCCTCTCAGCTGGACATTGCCCACAAACGTGGTAAGCGCGCTCACTACGCTGTTACCTAACTCGCTGATGAAGATGAGGGCTATCACCCACTCAGGAGCAAAGAAGCAAGTGTGGTTTCTGGGGGTTTGCCAAGCGCTCCCCTTTGTTTTCCTGGAAAAGGAAGGAGTCAGAGCACAGCACTGCAACAGACAGAGCACAGCAAGGCCACGTGGTGTGCAAAATATTTATTTATACTCCAAAAAGGGTCAGACTTACCTAACTCGCTGATGAAGATGAGGGCTATCACCCACTCAGGAGCAAAGAAGCAAGTGTGGTTTCTGGGGGTTTGCCAAGCGCTCCCCTTTGTTTTCCTGGAAAAGGAAGGAGTCAGAGCACAGCACTGCAACAGACAGAGCACAGCAAGGCCACGTGGTGTGCAAAATATTTATTTATACTCCAAAAAGGGTCAGACTTCAAA